AATGAAAGAAGAAACAGGTCAAAATTGTTATTCAAATAAAGGATGGTGGAGGCTATCTGTATTCACTATTATGCTCCAAGGGAACTCCAATACCAAGCTCTAGGTCGTAGGCATGGGGGTATTTTCACCAGACATGCCTTTCATAAATAAAAGGACTGTGAATATAAGCTAGAGATGTTTAAGAGAACAAAAAGCATACCTGAGTGTTGTTAGGTAAGTATTTTCTTTTTTCATTTGTTTTATTATTAAAAAAATAAAAATCAGATGCACTCATTTACCTACATCGATCCAACCCATTGTCATTATCTTCCATTTAGTATTTTGGGGTAAACATATTGAATAACGAAAGAAAATTCCATCCGCCTTAATATAACTGTAGTGGAAGTCCTACTCATGTTACAGTGTGACACATTATTGTAGTATAGTGGTTGAAATAATGATTTCAATTTATAAATGAATCGGTGATTTAGACCTGTGCATACACACAATTTCTCTGAGTTGATAGTAAGCCTTTGGAAGTAATGTTTATTTATTAGCACCTTTGTCGTAGTGTACATTATACTTGATTTAGCATATGAAACACTAAACAAAGAATCTTGGGAATTCAGAACTTTTAACTCCTTACTATACAGTTTATAATTGAGTGTGTTAGAAAATGATCAGCCTGTTTGCCTGAAAGAGTGCTGGCTGACTGAAATAATGTCTGGACTCTAATGGTACAGTTTTCTATTTAGAATATAAAGCGTTTAGGATTGCAGACATTCATTACAAAGACAACGTTCATTCGGCTGTTTCATAAAACTATGCTTAGCTAAAGGAATGTAATGACTTAAGGTTATTCAGCAGAGCCGAGATAATTATCCTCATCTGTTAGAGGAATATGGGGATTACTGGAAAATTAATTTGAAGGAGGAAAGGCCCTAATATATAATTAAAGAATTGTCTTTATTAAGTGATTATTGAATTCCAGTAAGTTTTAAGTGCTGCCTAAGAAATGAGTTTCCTACTAGGAAAAATATCCTGCAAGAAAATTACTCAAAGCTGTATTTAACAAATGAGGGCAAGGTAATGATTTGAAACAGTCTTTCAAAGACAATTAACAGATAATACTTATTAGGTCCCAGCCTCATTCGTAGCGGACAGAACCAGGAGGTTTTTACCTTGTTCATCTTCTGCATGAGGCCTGAGCGCTGTGCCAGCCAGTGCCGGTCTCCGTTCTTATTCTGTACGGTACTTCGGCGTTTCTGACTCTGGGGCTGCTCCATTCTCCCCTGCCCTCCCTCACAGCTCACCCTCTCCTCTTCCCACTTCACAGCCTGTTAAAGGTGCTCGTAAAGACACCATCGCTCAGAACACACATGTTCAGTGTTCAGATACCCCTCCACTAAACTTGCATACTTTTGTGGATGTAGAAAAAGAGTATTACATCTGCGGGTTTAGTTTCTCTTCAGTTCTGTGTGGTTTGAAAACACAAAAGAATAAAAGACAATGCTACCAGAATGGAGTAGAGAAGAACAAAATAATCTTTCTTATGACTTTGTGTAATCATTCATTTTCTAAATTTTCTTCAAAAATATTTCATTGCTTGGTAATTCACAGCAAAAACAAGTGAGGCTTTTAGTCTTTTGTCAGATAGTATTTTAAGTTAAACTATAATGGAGATGGCTGAAGGCATAACCAGAAAAAAGATAAATTTAGAAGGACTGAAATTCCTGGGAATAGCTTGGGAGCTAGTTTGCAGATCTTGGTTTTAGGTGTGGGTTCCCCCCTGCCCTACTATTCTACCTTTCCCAGATATTTTTCCTGTCTGTTGCACTTTAAAGAAGTAGCTATTGTTCCTTCCTAGCCTTTGACACTTTTCTTCTCCTTTTCCTTCCATCTCTGTGGAAGGAATGATGATGAGGTATTGTCCTCACAACTCTTTGTGTACTGCAGAGAACCCTAAAATAGTTCTGAGCTGGTGCTTATTTCTTAACTTAATGCCAGCACCAAAATGCAATGGAGTAATGTTTGTATAATGCTGAACGTGAAGGATAAATCACTTAGGTGGATGTTTCACCTTAACCTGGACCTGAGTCTTTGATTCTGGAGTTAGCTGGGATGTGTCAGAGTTGCACTACATGATGAAGATGTGCTTCTAATTTCTGGGCTTGATGGACAACTGCTTAGAATAAGGGAAATGAAGCAGTTAGTTATTTTGGTGTAAATCAGGATTTATTCTACTCAGTCACTAACAAGATTTCAGAAGTAAGAAGTGGATTTATGAAATCTGCAGGCTTGTTCCTTACTTACACCAGTTGTAACAAGGGAACGCTAAGCCACAGTATGTCCTCAAGTACCATTCTATATCCTAGCTGAGGAAAAAGGAAATATTTCCTTGTTATCAAGTACTGATCAGCATTTTGCACAGTAATGCAAAGCTATGTAATTTACTCTTTCTTGCTATTGCTTCAGCAGTAGTACTAAATACTTGTGATTTCACATTGTTTTTACTCTGACTTCAATGGGCATACTCAGATTTTGTGTGACTGTAAGAACTAAATCGGTAATATAACTATTTGGTGAAAAATTCCTGATTTCCTTGAGTTATCGCTGGAGCATTGCTAGAGTAGCCAACATGGGCGCTGAACCCGTTGTCCTCAGCTGCCATAGAAATGCACGAAAAAAGCAGGTCACTGTCCCAAAGGGCTTACAGCCTAAGGGAATAAAAGTTCTATTTCTAACATAGGCTGGAGACTGGTTACAAGAATTGTTTGTCCATTTTCAAAATCAAGACTAAATCTCCTTTGTATCTTTTTGACTCTTGGGAACCAATACACCACAGAACATTTCAAGTTTAAAAAGAGCCATATAAAACACTGAAGAATGCCGCAGGCTCACAAGGTCATCCTAATGGTCCTATCAAATCATGCACTTTTTCAGGTGTTTTCCAGGACAAGTTTTTTTTTCCAAAATCAGTCCAGGTTTGGCTAAACATAATTTTCCATGATATAATGAGTGGACAGAATATCAGTGGTAAAAGAAAATAGTATGAAAAGAAAGTAGTGAATTGGTTGTTCGTTTGTGGGGTTTCTTTTTTCTTTTTTCTTTTTTGGAAATATCTTTTCTTCCTTCAAGGTAGAAAGCATGGTTACTGTTGGTTATGGCTTTCAAGGTTAAACCCCGGTACACTGTTCCATCTGTGCTTGCTCGTCCCTAAGAAGATTCCACAGCTCAGACTGGCATCCCGACTAGCTTTACTTCTTTTTCTAGCTTGTACTCTTAAGGTCTCCTTAATCTTATTTAAGTCTACAAAGGGCTTATATTTAGCTGAAAACACGCAGTGGTTTTGTGCAGGAAAATTTCAAGCCCTCTTGCTACGCAGCTGTAGAGCAAAGCGATTTACTCCTTAGCTTTCCTGGTTTTTTTAAAAAAAAAAAAAAGTCTTTACCTTGTAAAACAGGTAACATACTGCCATCTAGTGGCAATTCAACCCGATTTTCTTTCTCGAAGTTATTTTAAGGCTTTATGTTTAATAGCATTTTCCCTTCATTAAAATTGTACATATCTCAGCAGTATGAACTTGCAAGGATCAGGCAAATATATCTCATAGTTTACTTTAGGATTGTTGTGAGATATTTCTGCTTTTGAACAATTCTTTCATCAATTTGAGCTATCCCCTCCAAGTTCCTTTTCAGCTGGAAACCAGAAAAGACATTCGTTTACTTAAAAACAAATAAAAATATGCTGTATCGATGTAAACTCTAAAAGGGTTCTGAATGTATTTCCAAAAAAAAATGCCGATAATAAATGCTGAAGAACCGGATGGAATTGCTGCAATTTTAGAATAATTTAAGGGGGAAAAAAGGTTTGTTCCCCCCGTTTATTTTGGAAATATTTTACTTACAAGAAGAAAACTAAGGAAAAATGAAGGGAGAAACTCTTTGGGTAGCCCTAGCTGGTTTGTCACCATTGAATTTTGCTTCCTCCTTCCTTTCCAGTTTAATCCACAATGTACACAGTCATATCTCTTATCTGAGGAATAGTTCTGCATGGTTTTCATGAAAAAAACAAAGGACTGAGCCATGTTTACTCAGCTGAGAGCTGTAACTCGCTTCAGGCTTTTCCTGCTTTGTTGGAGTCCTGGCCACAATTTCAGCTATATAATTAAGTTCTGCAACCAGCGCAAACAATTTTTTCTAATGAAATAGCTAATTGAACAGTGTAATTTCCAACAGCAACGATCACTGTATGTTAAGGTGAAAGGTTATTATAACCCGTTCCTAATTTTATACTTCTTTTTTATACTTCATTTGTACATAAGCAAATATACAAAATACTACATGTGATATAGGTGTATGTGGTTAAGTAATTGCCCCCAGGTTACACAATCTATGCATTTTTAAGAGTAATCATTTCAAGGTACGTGTAGCAACTATCACACATTTCTTTTAGCAGAATGCTTGAAAACTGAAATACAGTTAGGACATTAATCCTGCTACCCTGGCGCTGATGTTGTTGCTCACGCTGCACAAGATGAATATTCAGGAAATACTGGTGTAAATATTGAGGCAAAAAGCAACAATTCTGTTTTTGTATTTATTTGTTCTGGTAAATACGAACCTACAGAAAACGCGGGGTAGCAATGTGTCAGTTCTTACAGGTCATAAAAGCATGTTTAGTAAAACATAGCTCCCTTCCTTAGCGTAATTGGTAATACAACAGCTCTATTTTGTGTTCAGATTGCTGTTCTCTTTTCCTCAATCATATTTTCCTCCTAATGTCTCTGTTTTCTAACATGTGAAAGAATCACATTGAACTTGTGGCCTTGTTGCTAGGTTTCAAGCTGATTTTATGCAGTCTACTGAGGCACTATTTTCATTTCTGAATGCTGAATCAAGTCCCAAGGCAACAGGACCCTGTTCCTTAGCAACCCAGCTGGGTCGATTATATATTCCAGCTCTTTTGTACAACAAAAGAATAAACATCTCCCTGAATAAGGGTGTGCTGCAAGTTCACCTCTTTGCTTAACTTCCCCTAGAGCAGAAGTCCTCTGCTTTCAGTGAGACAGCACGTGAAGCTGGTCAGGAGGGCAGAGAGTGGTGAGTGGTTTCTCTGTCTTTTCTGTGAAATACGTCTCTCTGGTGTCCTTATTCATCCCTGTGCATATGGATTTGTGTGCACTTTGGAGCAGCAAGTTTCGGTTTCTAAGACACAAAAACCTGCCTGGAAAATCAAAGGTAACAAAGCTGACAGAGGAAGTGTGTGTGAAAATACACAGCCTTTCCGCTTTGGTGAAATCAATGGAAAATCGCATTGGTATGGTGGGGAGGGGGACAATTAAGACTTGAGAAATAGATTTTAGTAACTTACTCTGGCTACAGAACTTTACTTTTAGGGGAAAATTGGAAGGGGAGAAAAGAGGTGGAGAACTGAGAGGTAAAAAGGGAGAAAAGGGTATTCACATGACTAGTAAATTAGTGGTTTATGTTACCCAGTATGTGAAAAGAGGAGGTATGCTTATGAAAGAGTCTCTGGAAAGGGTTGCTTGGCTAGCTTTGACACTTTTCGGTAGTACCAGCAAAATGTGAATTTTGCTGCCTCCCAGTTGTGGGACTGGCATTGCCATGGGGAGTGAGGAGAGCTGGCAGAGGGGAAGGGCAGGGCAGGACACACAGCTCTGGAGGGCCGAGCCTTTCTGCTCCTGGCACCTGCGAGGGCCCTTTGCATGATGGCAACAACAACAGCAATGCTAAGACAAGGTATTAGAGTTTTGGCACTGCGTAGATAAGCAGAAAGGCCTTTGCTCTTCATGCGTGCAGCTGCTTGCTGACCTGGGCAACTCCCTATTTTACCTATACCTAAAGCCTGCCCCAGGGAGTCTGCCAGCCCCTCTGGTTAGCTGCAAAACAGGAAAAGGCTGTTTTAAGTATATAACTGATCAACTATCAGTTCTGCTCCCCATTTATTGGATGTACAAATAACCACAGCAGCTGGTCGTGGTGGGACAGCTAGCTTGCTGGCAGACTCTTCCCCTTCCACACGATGGGAAACCAGAGCTGTGCTGGGAGGTAAAAGCAGAGCAGGAACCCAGAAGCTCACCCTAGCCTGCTCCCCTCCTCCCAAGCAGGAGTGGGAGAGGGGACTCATCTACAGTGGGGTACACGAGGCTGAAGAAGGGCAGGAGTGGACACTGGGTGTCCTTGGATCCTCTTCCCATTTGCCTTATTTAAGATGTACAATGAACATTTTATGCTATGTTTACAGATAGAGTGTAAAAAGAAAGCGATCCTGGGGTTAGCTTTAAGACCAGTGAGAGACAGAACCGAGATAAGGCAGTATTTAGCTCCATGCATGGGAATAAATACTTTATCACCTATTAGGGCATTAATGCTGCTCCAATGGTCCCTTACAGCATCAAGCTCATCACCCTGCCCAGATGCGTTCTTAGACAGGAGTGAAGGGCCTGCCTCCAGCCCTGGGGGAAGAGGGCGAAGCTGCAGTGAGGCTAGCTGATGAGATAGCCTGCAGCAGTACGTAACACCTAAGCACATATTAGGATAGGGCTGGGGCAGCTCTAATTAATGTTTGGCCTGGGCGGTTCCAGGAATGCAGAGAAACACGAAAATGCATCAAGCGGGATGCAGACTCAAGTTTCAACTTTCTTCCTGATTCGAGGTTTGTTTGGTCAGTCCTGCTTGGGTGAACTGAGACTAGCGTATGTCCACCTCCACCTAGCGAACATCAAATCCTGGCTGTGCAGGGGGGCCTGCACACAGGTAATAGCTTGGGTTTAGTCTCCCCTCAAGAATGTACTGTTTAACAAGATGAGAATAAAAATGTGGGAGAGGTTTTGTTTGTGTTTCTACTTAGTGATAGGTATTTGAGGCAGAAGAGAAGCTGCATCTCCTCTTCCTATAAGGTGGTATGAATGGGTAGATTCCTGAATACCCATGCTTTTGACCTCAGATGGGCTTTATATAGGGTTAGGAGTCTACTGCTTCTGGTTATGTTGCAGAACTCAGAGAAAGAAGCAACAGTTATTCATCTGAGCGTAGGTACTAAATAATATTGAAGTGCAAGTACATATTTATATTCAATGAATGAGCTAGGTTATACAGACAAGGTTAGCCAGGCTGAAAATAATTATCAGTAATAAAAGTCCTACTGTTTCCGTGTCTTTTTCTTTTTGCCAGGGATTGCAATATCTGAGAAGGAAAAAAATCCACAGACAGGCCATTATATTCACAATGCCAATTCACGATTTACATTTGAAAGTCAAAATAAATTTTCTGCAAACAAATTTTCTTTTTTATGATGACAAACCAGTGCAGCAATGTGAAGCCAACAGAGATATGTGGCTAAAGCAGCCTCCTAATTTTAGCTACAGGCTCTATAGATCATCCAACTCTCTCAGAAGCCACAAGGAAAGGAAAAGGGGAAGTGGAGCAAACAACAACCTCTGAATCCATAGTCATACATCAGCTTTCCAGGCTTAAGTCCAGGCTGCTCCTTCCTCCTTCAGGAAAGAAAAAGGAGATGCCTCTGCTTGTCTCTGGGTTTCCATGCAGGAGCTCTTGCAAGGCCAAGACACTGTTTGTGAAGAATAGTGAATATAAGTGTATCAAGACCCCAAACCACGTTATTATAGACAAATAAAATATGCTTTTATGCTCCCATGCTTTTACAAAGCAAACACGTTGAAACAATGAGTAAATGTTTGATGATCCATTAATTAAACCACTAGGTGTCAGTCTCACTAGGAAAAAAAAAAGGAAACCCCAGCAGGCAGTACAGCCGTGAGGATACGACTTTGGTATATTGCTGTGTGGTAAGTATAAATTATTTGCTAAAAAGACTTCAATTTTATGGTAATTTTTCCATTTTGCAGCCCTAAGTGAGACCAGGATGTTATTATGCTGGCACCTGTGCATTCCACGTAGCAGGAAACCATCCCCTTGTCACAGCAGCTGAAAATGAAATTATGTACAGAAAACTTGCAAAGGAAATGAAAAAATCCAAGATACAGCTTGGATCAGTGCATCCAAAATTAAAAAGAAAAATCAGTACCTTTAACATTAAAATTGCTAAGTAAGAACAACTTGAAATCAAAAGGATATTTGTTCTGACTTTTTGCCATTTTTTTCTCTCTCCCCTAAAAAAAACAAATCAGCAAGCTTGCTATTTCTAAAATTGGAAACAAGGCCCAGAAAGTAAACAAAAAACTGTTTTTACCCTTCTGGTCTCCAAAGCAAACCTGGATATATAACTTATTGAGAAAATACATAAAGGGCGTACAGTCAGTGTTACATTGTCATAGAAAACAATAAATATTTTCCCCTCATGCTGTCTTTATGAAAGTATAAGTCATATCTTCATTTATTTACCATACTGCTTTAGCAAGAATTTTACTTCCCTGTTTTGAGTTTACCTAAGTTAATTAAAAACAAACTTTCAGTTAACTATTACTGCCGAAAGAAATTTATCCAATAATATTCCATCTCAAGGAAAATTCTGCTTTATTTCAAGATGCCCATGCTTCTAAAATTCTAATTAAATGCTAATTTCTCTTAAAACCTACTGAACAAAACCTTCCCCTCTTAAGTAGAAGTTTCTTGTCTTTTTCTCAAGTCTTGACCTCTAATGAAAATTTGCAACCAGTGGAAGGGGGGAAAAAAATCTCATGTTTGGCCTTGCATCTCTGATTTTGCACTCTCTAAGGTCAGCACTCAGGAGGTGGGAGGAAATGTTCTCAAGATTTCAGAACTTTCTTAATTCCACATCAGGAGAAAAATAATGCTTTAATAATTTGACTGGCTCCAACAACTGATTCCCAGAAGTCCAATAACTAAATGGCCAGGACATTTAGCAATGAGGGGTGAGATCTGGCTTCAAGCTCCTTGTCTGAACTAGGCACGCTGTCTGAGGAATCCAGCATTGCTGCTCAGCACTTTTATATCTGGACTGAAGTTTTCCTGTGTTTGGTGAAATTCCACCCTGAGTGAAACTGGTCGTAACAAGTCGGCATATCTGAAAAGAAATAAGGAAAAAGCAAAAACATGCGACCGTAAATTCCTGATTAAGTTCCTGATAACAGCAAAACATCCTTAGGCTGTCTTCAGGACTTGGCCTGGAGGTAGAAGGGAGCTCTACTCTGAAATTTAGAGGAAAATAATGCATACTGTCAGATTAGTTAACATCTAATGTCTTGTTAACATTTTAGCCAACTGAAAAATTAGGCTGCTTAGGGTTGCAGACAGTACAGTGATGCAAATTCAGTGGAACTAAGGACTTACCTATGCAGGGGATTTTGCTTTTTTTTTTTTTTCTCCTCACTAAAATTTCCCTCTGGGGAGTACCCTTAATGATGTCTCTTTAGGAGTTTAAGAGGAAATAACCAACCTCAGTGCAAATTCTCTAAATGAAAAACATACCTAAGGACTAGCTGCACTGATGCAATCAAGTATATACTTGATCTTATGCAAAAAGTAAGTCCAAAAATTAAGCGTGATGGTATTTGGTTTATTTTGGTGTGATTTGGCTACTGGACAGTTCACAGAGATAGGGTGTCCTTTTTCCACCATTCAGGGTAATGGAAAATGTTTCATGAAGTGGAAATCAGAACTGAACCACAGAAAATTAGAAAGGGGGGGTGTATTAAGAGAAAGGCAAAAAATACAAAATGTAAATTAATAGTGTACAATGTTTCTTTCATCTGGTGCTGTTCCCTGTAAACTCTTGCTCCATCCCGTACACTTCAGAAGTGTATTACACCAGAAAGTCTGTAGTTAAGCATTCGTTATAATAAAGTTTCTAATATGTAACTTCATGCACTATTTATGCTGCTTCAGTGAGTTCATAGGGCAGGCATCCTGCTGCCAAGCCCACACCATTTTGATTTTCTCTTGTTCAGCCAACCAAAGAAATATATCATTATCTGTTTCCTATCTGGTAACTGATAAGAAACCAACTGTCTTGTCATTTCAACCTGAGAAGATTAGAAAAATTGTGAGTCAAATCTGGGTACCTAACAAAACAGTCTAATATAAGTGATCTACATCAAGAAGGTGATTGGTTTTCTAGAACGGGCTGATGGAGAAAACTCACCGTATCGAGATACCTGGTCTCAAAACTAAGCCTGATGTCTAGTGTCTTATCTCGTCCCGTACTTACCTGATCCGGTTTGCAAAACATGATTTAGTCAAGAAGTGCACTACCAGTAGCCACACTCACAATTTCTTCTTGCAACTTGCAGAAAATTTTATCAGTAGTTTAAAATTCTATCCGCTTTGAATGTAGAATCATTTTTGCTTCCAAGCAAGGAAAATATAGGTTTAAAAACAATGTATCATTGATGTTACATAACTACTTTGTTTAAGCATTGTTTCTAACCCTCTCAAAAGTTCTCCTGCAACAGAAATCTCTTAAACTTACTGTAATGCAGCAGACCACAGAGTGCGTTAATGATTAATTAAGTTCACCACAAAGGTTTGAAAAAAGTTGCATGCAAAGAACTCCATGAAAGAAAGAACTCAACATATTTATGCCAAGAAACTTCACCTCCTGTGTTTTCAGGACCATTGCCCCTTTCTGTAGAGGAATGCTCTGTTTCTGCTGTTACTCCTCATCTGTACTGTAATGTCAGCCACCGGACTTGTCTGATATTAGGACCATGATGATAGGTGTCGCGCAGATAAAGAAGTTTAGGGTAATGAAAAAATGTAATTCTTGTCAGCTCAACAGCTCAGTGCTTGACTGGTATAGAACAGTTAGTTAAATATATTACGAATTTATCCATAAAGGTTTCATTTCATAAACAAAAATGCTAACTTGATAAACAGGTGTACTCCATACATTACCTAATTCCAAACTGTAAGGCTTGTTCTTCATTTCACAGCAACGTCCTCTGTTCTAGGCGTGATGGTTCATCTGATGCTACAATGTATTTTCCTCTTCCAATGCAGTATGAAACTAACTTACCAAATCTTGTGACAAATTACTCCAGAGATCCTTTCAATTTGAAGTTCAAATCACCACATTTAAACATAGGTAAGTCTTTGCTGACATACATAGTCATTGCATTAAGATAATTAGCAATTAGTTCATAAACAGTAGGAAGCAGGAGTAGGACAGAGAAAGACAGCCATACAGAAGGGTTAAGTGGCTTCACATGGGGCATAACGAGTAACTAGCAATGTTTTTGGTAAGATTCAGTATCAGAGAAAATCTTTTCCCTAGCTCTAACTAATAGACTGGAACTATTTCACACAACTTACTTACTCATGCAAATATATTCAATTTTAGGGATACCTGATAGAAGCAGGATTATTAGCTCAGAAAAACTGCTTCCCAGTGTAGATTTGCTGATATAAGCATTTAATAGTGGTTTGTACTCAGGTAACTGAATTAAGTCCAATGTGTGCTGTGCATATCTACAGTCCTACCAGTGTAGATAGTCTGTAATGGGACGTCTGTCTGCTCTTACTGGAATTGCCATAGCTGCAACTGTTATAACAACAGCTTGGTTGCAAATAATTAACCATGCAAAGTTAATGTACACACACATACCTATTGTGTAGCATAAAACACTAATATTGTTGTACTCTCACGACAAAACCATGGACAGCTGTTGTTGTTGTTATTGTTTTGTTTTTTTGCTTATATTTTTTACCATATATGTTTGGGTGCTCCTTTTTCTGGAACCCTTTCTGGTCAGCAGTAAACAGTTTTCTAAACGTTACGGAATCACGGAATTACAGAATCGTTTAGGTTGGAAGGGACCTCTGGAGATCATCTAGTCCAACCTCCCTGCTCAAGCAGGGTCACCTAGAGCATGTTGCCCAGGATCACATCCAGACGGGTTTTGAATATCTCCAGGGAAGGAGACTCTACCACCTCTCTGGGCAGCCTGTTCCAATGCTCAGTCACCCTCACAGCGAAGAAGTTTTTTCTCAGGTTCAGAAACTTACAGGCTACAGATTACAGTTTACAGGTTACAACTTACAGGCTACAGGTTACAGTCCAAACAGTTTCTCCTATCATTGATGAACATCCTTTGCTTAATATTTTCAGATCCTGGACCTGAACGACAGAAAGCAAGGCAAAAGGACTCCTACAGATTTCTTACATGTAAGCCTTGTCAAAGCCAATGGGATCCCTGGCTGCTACTACCGAGGGATCCCTGGCTGCCAAAATTTGCTTCATTTACAGTTAATTAGACTATTGGACAACTCCCTGCTTTTTTGTGCATCAAAAGCTTTTTAAAAAAATCTATGTTTTTGTTTTTTTTATTGCTGGTTTTTTTTTTTTTTTTACTTCTGAATTAGATTGATTTTAGCTATTTTGCATTATGCAGTAGGTGAACTTCAGGAGAGAACTGGGAAGTTCTCAGGAAAGCACCAGCACGCTACAGAGCTAGGGATATGGACAACCAATTTCCTTTACCTCTTCAAAAATGTAATTCTGTTTTCTTGCTCTTACTGACTTTGATGGAGCCTGTAAAGATAATCACTTGGGGAATATTTTCTCATTTTAGCCTTTAATAGAAAATTATATAGCACTGCACATGGCAATTCATTGTAGGAATTCAGATATCCATGTTAGACTGTCCAAAGATGCAGACTGTTTCAGAATATGCATATATTGGGAGAAAACTTTGATGGTTTATAAACATACAGCAAACACTAGAAATTCAGGATTTCAAAAAAGAAAATGTCTCCATTGTCTTTACAAAACAGCTCCCATTAGTATTACTGAAGATTAGCAAATGGTGGGTTAAGGAGAAAATAAATTGTTCAAGGAGTTGGTGTAGGGGATGAGAGATGCTGAGCTGTGAATATAACTCTACTAAATAGTGGCAGGTCAATACACTAAGTGATATTTGTAAAATCTGCACATGCACATTTGTAAGATCAGATGGCTAAACACAAACATCTCTAGGCATTTCAATGCCTTGTGCTCTGATTCACATATGAAAGCTCATCTGAAGGTGAGTTCTCTGATGAACCTGTCAAAGATCCTTCTCATGTCAGCCACCTCTCTGTTTTGTAGCTCTAACTTACCTTTTTACTTTTCTACTCTCAGAGGCTCAGAAGGTGACGTGGTGTTCATACTGTGTTCTTAGATTGTACAGGGGAAAATCTAGGATGGCTACAGCAAGGAGAGGTTGGTGGTGGTGTTAGTTCTTGTTCTGGTAGAGCAGGGACACTGAATCCAATCTGATCCAGAGGGCAGACATCTTTTTGGTCTCCTGTGATCTTAGATGAGGAAGGATTGATAGGTGCTGGCAGAAGCCATAATTCCATGCGTCTGGGTAGGCCTGGAGACACTGACACTTGATTAAACTCAATAGACCTCTTTTTTGAGGTCAGAGCAAAAAGTGCAGACAGTTTAGATGGCCTTTCCTCAGGCTGGCTTGCACTAGGGAAAGGTTACTACCAAGTGAGTTCCTAGCTGTATCCAGGATGACCCTTCTGTCCTACAGAGGCTCCATGTGTCGATGCAGGCAATGCAGCATTGCCTCAGAGTCTGTGCTGCAGTGTGGATTATCTGAGTGAGCTGAAGTAATGCAAAAGTGCTGGTCACAACACTGACCTCCACTGGAATAACTGATCCTTCTCGGAAAAATACACGTCTGAACAGAGTTCTCTGCGGTCTTAGCTGGGGTGCTCTAATACCCAGCTTGAGCATCTCTATTTTATGCTCAAGTCTTCAGCACAGATGTTCCCAAGAGCCAGAACTGAAGCTGTAGAAAGCAGTTCTGAGTAACTTGATGATCAAAGCAAAAGAAGTATTATTAAATAGCTTTGTCTTCCAGATACAAATTCTTATTCTGCCAGATTGTATGCACTTGTTTATAGTCAGTACGTGACTCAAAATAGCTGAACTAAGAGCTGGAACCTGTCTTGTTGCTGACAGATTTACATTTCACACTGTTAGTTTCTATCAGACTGAGAAAGATGAGTAATTTGTATATCCTAAAATAATACATTTTTAATTTAGGGCATCTATTTATCTAAGGTTGCTTTATGTTCAAATGAATTAATTTCTGCTGGTTATGCTTGAAATTCTCCTCTATGGTGGGCCAGCAAAGTCAGGGAATTCCTTGATGTGGTCTTGCACGCTCTTCCAAAGAAAAGGAGCAAATTTCTTTTTCATGTCTGGAGTGCTAATGTAGATGCTTGGGGAAGGGGAGAGGGAATTTTTGCAGTCACCCTACAGCTTGGGCAATGTGAATGGTGTGTGAGATAAGAAGTAAAATCCTAAGCTTGACCAGGACACTTGCTGATGGATTGGTAAGGATAGACTGTGCATTCCAGCCACCTCTCCTGGCATATCACAAGGTGCCTTTATCACAATCCTCTGTCAGTAAACATGCCTATGGAAATGTCTGTGGAAACTTTCTCGATCCTGACTTTTGTTGCAGCTTTTGTGAATCAGTAATTATCTTCCTGCCAAACTGGCAGCAAAAGAATTGTGCTTTTCCCCATGTGTAGAATCATAGATAACTTAGGCTGGAAGAGGCTTCTGGGGGTTGTGTGGTCTAACCTCTACTCAAAGCAGGGCCATGGTAGGCTGCTTTCTAAAGTAGGTTGAAAGTAGGACCTCTGTTTAATGTGTTAGGAGACAATTTTCTTTTTTAGCTTCCAACATGCACTCCTTCGATGTTCCTGGGCTGCTAACACATTACCATGCCCTCTAACACAGCCCCTAGGTCTGGCGTTCAGGATCCTGGGATGACAGAAAAATGCCTAGGAAATGTGCCACTTTATGCTTCCATGTGGTCTAAAACAAACTTCTCACAGAGAAATTCTGGATCTTGTTTGTAGAACAAATCAGTTTGTTCTAAACTATGTTTATGTCTGTGATGTCTGATACTAGCCTGATGTCGTTTTACACGGTAATTGATGACTATGTTTCAATGACCATGTCTTTCCTTTCACAGGAACCTTAGCCTCAGCTGCACGGTGATAAGTGGCAAGCAGTGGGATTCAAGTTCTACAGCCTTATCCAAGCTAAACATCAGCCTTCAGGCCTTAGGAAATATATGTGCCTGCAGGTGCTATGACAGATACTAGTGGTGCTGAGTAACGTCATGTTTGTGTCTTGTGTCCTGTTATTTCAGGTATCAGCTCTCTGAGAACCCTGGACTGGTATGAGAAAGGAGATCTAGGCCCTTCAAGCAGGGCAAACACTGGTATAGATAGTTCACCTTATGAATTATGTTTAAATATTTTAGAAAATATCTGTTTGTTACTGTAAATACCAGTATTGAACAGGAACATAGTAAACATGGGAAACAATGTGGTTATATCAATGAGTAGTTATTATTATCTTTTTCTCCTTAACAAATCCCTCTCTCTATGTGTATCTCCATATTGCTAAAAATTACTTACAGCCTCTTCCAGTCCATTAATTCTTTTCCCAGTCCTGCAGTCGTCTGGATGTAAAAGAAATGGCACAGCCCATCATGCTCTTGAGGACTGATGAGGACAAGTGTCATTATGAGTTTATTTTGGAAACTCCCTGCCATTTCCACTGAAGAACTTGTGATCAGCAAACTGCATTACAATGATTCCCCCCACACTTCCTCTTGCTTTGACAGAAACAGCTGTTTTGCCCTTCACTCTAATTATTATAGGCCCTCAAAGCTCAACACCATCAGGTAATTTCAATTTCCCTTAAAAACAGTGTATGGGGGTGTTGAGTATAAGAGGGGGAAGCACTTTTTAAAGGCCATGTGCACTGCCAAGGGCTTTGGAGCCATATCTAAAAGCTAGATTTGATCTCATAACTGGATTTAAACTGTAAGTAAGCTGAACAGTAAATATATGCCAGCTGGTGATTTAGCATAAGAAAAATTGCGTATTGGATTGTTTTGCCCTTTCCAAGAGATAATGACTTGCACACCACAGTGAGAAGCTTGAGGCGCTAATGAAAATCCCTTAAGCAATGATCTCATAGCTTTGTGCGCACTGTGTGCAGTTCAGCCTTTCTCTGTGATTTCCCAGATGAAACCACAGTGAAAAGAAAAAATGTGTAGTATGTTAACACTGAAAAAGGCATACTTTCTGTTAAACACATCTTCCTACCAATCAGGGAGCAATTGCCTTTTTTCTTCAGACACTTGTTTGATTTGAAATTTGCTACTGTCTAAACTTAGATTTGGAAAAAATCAAGTCCTCAGTCTGCCTGGAAATTGTGTGTTTTCTGAAGGCCAGATAAACTTGGCCTAGAAAATGGTGTTTTCTCTGTGCAGTCACACATGGCAGTGAAGGAGTTAGTAAAAATTGAATAGCTAGTGGATTTCAAAGGTTATTAGGATTTGACTTCTTGTTGGTAGATATAATCAAAATATAATAGTACTGTACCAATGTACAGTAATGTACTAATATGTAAATATTAGCTGAGCTGCCCCACAGCAATAAGGGTGAGATAGAAATGTGGCATACCTTTGGAAGAACACTATTGATGTTGTCTTTTTACAGCTGGGAAAAAAGGAGCACAGAGAAGTTAAATGACTGCACAGAGAAGTTGAATAACTTGCCCAAAAAGCGTGCGAAAAGAGTCGGTTTCAGTCCAACTCTCACAGGTAAACTTAATCTCTTATAACAGATGTGGAGGCTTTTCCAGAGCTTTCGCTCAAAAGAGGACTGAGCCTGCCCTTCCATTCCTGCATCACACCTCATCTTCAAAAAGTTACATGGCAGAGGTATATCTTCCTCCTGACCTGCAAGATGGGGGTAACTCCTTGCGTTTGGTTGCAGTGGGGAGTGAGATACACCGGCATGATACAGATACACATGTGTGTGCTAGAAAACATTTTAAAAGTATTTAGTAGGTTCAATAAATGCATTTGGTAACGCATTTATTGCATGACACAGACACACATGGCCTGAGCTCTTGCAGACCACTGAGAGCTCCTGTGATTCTCCTGTTTGCCATTCAGGCTGATCTCCACCTCCTGTGACCACTGCGTAAAGTTCTTAAACCTCAGAGAAACTAGAGTATGGGTTTTATATCAAGTACTGGCTAAAGTGTTGTTCTTACGCCTGAGCGGCTGTTAATAGTGGAGATTCAAGCAAAATCTCATAATCCTTTTTTATTTTTTCATTCTCACTGTGGCAGTGTAAATGCACTGTAAATCTTGCTGATGGCTATGTCAGCCATTTGGGCACACAGTCAGCTGCAGATTGAACATCACTTAGCCCCGTGTATGAGAAATGACCAGCATCCATTACCAAAAATGCCTCTGAACTAAAATCCTTTCCAGTCAATAGGTTTCATTGACTTCACGGATCTGAGGAACAGGTTTAAGGAGATGAATTCTTTTGCTTTCTACAGCATTATTGTATTGTTTCTTTTGGAATCATTTTATAAAAACATTTAGGACTTATATAGATGCAGAGAGTGAATCCGGATCCTTTCTGAAAGTCTTAAAGAAAGAAGGAGGCTTACAAGTTAGTTGTAAGTGCTGTAATAATAAGGGTATTACACAAAAGCGTGCTCAAAAATATCACCCAAGCAAACTGACTCTATAAAGAAAAATCATTAGATTCAATAAGTTATTAATTAATACTAATATTTTGCATATGTATAGAACTTTTCCTGCAGAGTATCCTATTTTATTATAAAATAGGAGAGCTGTGCAATAGTCAATAAAGGAGCGAGGCCTAAATGAAGTACGTACTGGGTGTACTGTTTCCATTTATACAGCATTTACGTCTTTATTTTACTTCAGATACCAATCTTTGTATCAGCTCAGTAAGCGCTGGGAATTTTCTGGTTAAATTTTGCATACACAATTGCAAAGGGCAACAACGGCAATAAAACTGGAGAGAAGCAGGGTAAGAAGCTGCATGCAGAGAGACTCAGAGGAGGTAGCAGGAGGCCAGTCCACAGGAATGGTTGCTGTCGCTGCAGATGTCTGTAAATAGTTCTTTTACTGAAGAGCCAGTTTGATTTTAGTAGCATGGGATTTCCTCATGTTACAAACCAACAGGCAACACATGAAACATAGAAGGTCTATTCTGCAACTGTTTAAAATACAAAGATTTATAAACATTGAAGGGTTGCTTTTCCTCCACAGAGGCCTTTTCTTGGATGAAAAAGTAAAACAAGGAAGTGTCTGTCATGTAGGTTGTACTAAAATTATACTCAGCTCAATATACTTATCTGTAACGTGTTCCTCACCTGCTGCTTTTTACCAGTGTCTTTTATTTTGTAAAAACAAACAAATGAAAAAAAACACTTGAAGTTTATTTTCACTAGCATCCTACGTAGCTGAAGGAGGTAGTACATGAGTGGTAATGGTGTTTCTCAAATTTTCCTTGGAAGAGATGGATAGGAGCACAGCAATCCCACAGCAGCCAGTGGAAGTCAAAACACAGTGCAGTAAACAAATGCATTTCAGTGTTTTCCTAGGAGGGTAATTGTTCTTGCTGATGGTTATGAACCTCTCAAAGTAAAAAATAAACAATGTTACTAATGAAAATAACGAGAACCAGATGAACACCATACAAAGCCAAAGAGTACCAAGGGAATCTTTCTCCTAACTGAGGAAATTTTCTGGCCTTGTGGAAAAGGCGAGGAAGGAAAGCGAATATAATGGCCCGGTCTATTTTAAAATAGTATATTGATATGCACGCTTCCCTCTGATCAAAGTTGGCCGGTATGCCCTATGTGAAACCTGGCACCAAGTAAATAAACAAGTGTCATCTTGAATCCAGTAAGAGTTGGACAAAGCCTTAAATGACTTCCAGACCTGAACTTTTGAGGGCACAGTGGCTTAACGCTGTCTTGCTGTGTCATAGAATAAGAATATGATCAAAATTTACCAAATGCATTTATTGAATCTACTATATATTTTTAATGGTTTCTAGCACACATGCATTATCACAAGGGGGAATGCTTGGGGTAGAGATAATGTTTAGGCTTGGTTTCTAGGCAGAGCTAGTGAAGAAAGCTCAGGAACAGAGTTTGAAAAGGTGGGGCAGGAGAAAGCAAGAGACTGCAAAGCTTTACCCTTCCTTGCACTAGGGAGCTTACCCTTCCCAGCATGATAGGATGGGAATTGCAATCTACTGAATTAGAGGGGGAGAAGCTAAGAGGTGCTTTGTAGCTGTTCAACTTCTGTTTAACCCTGGGAGGAACAAATGCTGTACTTCTGTTTGGGAGCACAAGTATACACTGTACTATTGATAAGAAGGAACTGAGGGAATAATAAATAATGGAGACATGTTCTTTTCATAGAATCAGAGTGGTCATATATTCTGGGAACTATGCCTAATGCTAGATAGAATTGAGGATGTGTAAATAATCTGTGCACTTCACTGTCTCAAATCAATTGTGCATTTTTCCCTCATACTTTATTTTATCTGGTATCTGCCAGTTGTTTGTCAGCGAATGATCAAATCAGAAGAGTAGTCAGGAGAACAGGGTCTGCCAATGAAATATATTTCTGTCCCTTAGGACATACCTTCACTAGAAAATTAGGCTCCTTAAAGACATTGAGAAAATGTGCAGACTCCAAGATCAACTCTTACTTTGGAGTCTAAGGCAGAGGGAGTTGCAGGATTTACTGATTAGACTTGAGTTGACAAGAAACGTATGTTCTTCAGACTTTCTTTTGAAAAAATTTTCTCCTGATGATTGGCAAAAACCTAACACAATATTTCCTTGTGGCCTTCCTTGTCACTCACATTTTTGAAATCAATTTGAAAAAAATGTTATGTTCCTGGTGTGGTTCTTAACACAGTGGTGCTAAGGCACCTTCAGGCTTTCTATGTACAGTGCTAATCAGAAAACAGAGAGATTGAGTCCTCTTCCACTAGGTATGCCTCAGTATCTTGAAACAGGAATCAGTCCCAAGCTTTGATTTAAATAGTTCTTCCTGTAGACCTCTCGGGCAAGTTCAAGACCTCTTGTCTTGAACATGCTCTATCAAAACATGTCTATTTTAGAAGCTGTTTCCAACAGGTTTGCAGATCTCAGCATCTTTTTAGAGAATTAGTACACTTTTCAATATCTCAGAGAAAAAGAAGTGAATTTCATAAACAGGCAATCGTGACGTATAAACAGAAATTTATGGATGTTTTTTGATCTCCTTCAGACAGCTTTGCCTTTAGCTCCACTAAATTCAGCAAGCAGATCCCCAGTTAATGTCAGTGATCTTAGAAACTACTCACTTAATTTGGGAAGGTTGATCAAGGAAACTTAGATTATTTCCTGTCCCTCTTCAAACAGAAACAATGCTGAGAGTGTATCTTCATTTTAATAGTCTGTTACAGGACTCTTGTTACTGCTCCTAGTGCTTTGGGATGGTATAATTAAACTTGGCTGACACATTGTAGCTGAAACACAGCAGCAAAGCTCACAATTATAAGGAGTGTTATTCCTGAGTAGCTTGAAACCACCCTACTTATTAGGTTATGTGCAACAATCACTTGTGGTTTAAGAAAACAACTGGGAGTCAGCAATGAGCTTGGTAGGAATTGGATATTTTTAACAATACAGAAAATGTTTATTTTTCCAAGTTCATGTACCAAATTCAAGAAACCTTCAAAATAGACTTTTCCAGAGAGTCAGAAAACAGAAAATTGTCCCCTTCTTTTTCACATATCCCTCCTCTTCTTTTCTGTTTCAGATATTTCAGTGATTTAAGTAAGTATTCAGGATCTACAGTTTAAAAACAGAACAAATCGAACACAGATGCTTCAAATTTTATGTCAAGGTCAGTGGATGTATTGAAAAAACTAGTTTCAGTCTATGGTTTCCTACTCCACAATAAGGTCATGTGTGAGATATGATGAAAAAAAAAGTAATTTTAAATACTTAGCTCAAGGCTTGCAACTATCTATTAATGAGGAGCTACTCTGTATTTGAAAGAGCAGCCATACCACTATGGTGATTGTTCTGTGCTATTCTGAAAACGTAAAGAAGCTTAAAACCTAGTTTTACTGAGTAGTTAAATTAATCTTACAGCTGTTTTGCCTTGACTAGTGAATCTGACTAAAAAAACATTGGTTCTACTGTAGATATCTATCACAGCTACGATGAATAAGTTTATTTCTTCTGTCCAAATTCAGAGTTACTATTTGGTAAATGAGGGTGGGAGATTCACATGCACATGCACTCTCCTAGCATCTCCAAGCAGCCAAGCAAACTCCAGTAAGGAGGAAAGCTAGGTTTCATTCTTTCTTCAACTCATTCCAGTTTTGTTAAGGCCTCTCCTGTTAAAGTTGGGCTACTGAGCAGGATGGTTTGAGGAACTGATGAGAGACTGGAGAGAATTAACAGAAGGTAACATAATTCTATAGCCTAGTTTCAATAACTGCTTTCAAAGCTATATGGTCTAATTCTCCTTTCATTTACACAGTTTCAGTGATGATTTTTAACAAGTATATTGGAAATAAGAACTTAGTGCAGATCTGTGAACTAACTTATCTAAAGTTAGTTCTAAAATAAATCTAAAATAACTTGATCAATTTGTAACTCAGCAGTAGCGGAGATGAGAACTGACCTCTGCGTCCGTTTGGACAAGACTGTGCTTTTGACGCGCATATGCTGTGTACAGCAAACTTCATAATGTGA